TATTAGTATTGAACTTTGGAAAAGAAGAGCAGCTGCAGTTCCATTTGGGACATCAAAAATCATCCCAAAGAATTAGTTTTGAAACACTTCCTCTCCCATTTGATCATTCCACCCTCATGTTTCCGCATCATACAAAATCTGAGTGCATACCTTAGTCTCAAACACTCTTAGGGCTGGTGCAATTAAATTGCTCCCATGAATCCAGGTGAAACATAACACAGCTTGCATTGAATTTGAGGCCTTCTCTTTGGTCACCTGAACATGTTTATCCCAGAACCCATTTTGTGAGAACCAAACACCGAGACAGGGGAAAGAATTAACTTGTTCAATATATTGCCCATCAATCCTCCATTTATGCAACCTCCGTCTTTGACTAAAAACAATTACTTTAGTTTTGGAATAATTTATCAAAAGGCTCTCCCGTTGATAGTATAAACCAAACACATTTAATGAATGCTTCAGTCCCACTGAAGTTTGTGAAAATAGAATCTGCATATAATAAGATAGACAAAGGGTAATCCATGATTTCATGGGGAAAATACTGATCCCCTTCTAATGCCAAAATAACATCAGTAATATAAAAGTTAAAAAAGCTGACAGCCCAGTCAATCCCCCTTTGTTATCGGGATGGAATCAGTTAGTTGCCTATCCAGGCCTATCCTAATCTTGGCCTCTTTTTGCCTAGGAAGAGCTCTTAACAGAATAAAGTAACGGGGGATCTATCTCCAATTTGTTCCACAGAAGCTGTCTATCAACAGAATCAAACGCCCATTTAGATCAGCAAAGGCTGAATACAATTTCCCCCCCTTCAGAGATACAAACATTTGTAGATCAAATAAGAAAGAATAAAACCATAATCTGTAGTGGAGCAGCCATTCTGAAAACCAGCACATTATTTTCTGTTTTCTGCCAAATCCTCTAGTCTCCCCAAAAGATATCTAGTATAAATTTTAAGACAGCATTCAATAAGAGGATTGGGTGATAATTCCCTGGGTCTTTTCTATTCCCTTTTTTATAGAGTGGAATAATAATATTGGTAGCCCACCCTGAGGGAAAAATCCCTGTATTATTTATATTGGAAAAAAGTTTAGCCAAAACAGGGGCCCACCAATCAATATTCTTCTTAAATCATCCCACAGGGATAAAATCCTCCCCTGGTGTTAATTTTTTTAATTGCTTGACAGCCCTAGTAAGGACTCAAAAATTCTGTTGGCCTTTACCCTGTGGTACAGGTACATCCAGCTGGGTTGGCCCTAGATTTTAATACACAGGGAGTTAACAGGTAATCAAAGGACTGAAGAGGAAAGAATCCGAAGATCTAAACATAAACATAAACATAAACCTAATTGTATGATTTGTTCTGATAACTTACTAATTGAGAGAATTGATAAGGAACTGACTTGACTAAAGGATGCTTTCCAGATCCATTATGCAGTTTTTATTAAAACAGTATCTAGGGCATCAATAGCCTCAGAAGTAAAGCCCATGATTTGGAATTTAAGAATTATTTAGCACAATTTGATTTATTCTTTTACAAGAAACCTGGCTCACCAAAGATGAATCTTTTCATCTCCCGGGCTAAGAATTTTGTTTTGAAAGTTCTCAAGAAGGGCAGACCAGTCAGTGAACTGGCCTGTTTTATTGCAATCAAATTAAATGCTCTAGTTAATGTATTACTGCCAGGTAATCTTTATTTTCAATCTTATAGTATCATTCCCCCAGATAATATTTTAGTTGCTTTGAATGCTTATTTCCCTTCTTCGGGATCCTGCTTTTACAATGCAAATTTATTGGCAGAGCTAGAATCTCTTACTCAGAACTAGAATCTCTTACCCAGTAGCAAATTTTATTCTTTTAGTGAGTTTAATGTGCCATTGGGTGCAGAAGATAAAAATTGATCACATAGTACATTCAAAAAAAGAACAGGAGTACTTGTGGCACTTTAGAGACTAACAAATGTATTAATGCTCAAATAAATTTGTTAGTCTCTAAGGTGCCACACTCCTGTTCTTTTTGCGGATACAGACTAACACGGCTGCTACTCTGAAACCTGTCATAGTACATTCAGTGACAGGCTGCTTGCTCTCCCCTCAAGAAATACGAAAGATAAGGAATTCAGCAGGCCGGAAATTCTCCGCGATTTTGGACAGACTCATGCTCAGAGTTATTAATAGTAGAGGTGGTGATGACATGCTGGGTCACTTTACCTACACCGCTCAGAGGGTATGTCTATCCTGCAATTAAACACCCGCGGCTGGTCCATGTCAGCTGACTCGAGCTTGCAGGGCTTAGACTATGGGGCTGCTTAACTTTGGTGTAGGCATTCGGGCTCGGTCTTGAGCCTGAACATCTACACCACAATTAAACAGCCCTATAATCCAAGCCCTGCAAGGGCGAGTCAGCTGACACAGGCCAGCTGTGGGTGTTAAAAGTGCAGTGTAGACATGCCCTACAAGGGAAGAAAGTGACTGACTATATTCCAGTCCCAATTTTAAACTGGCCTTGTTTTTCCAATTTTTCAGTTGCCCTTGTATCCAATAGTGATCATCAACCCCTACAGGTTAATTTCTGGCTCCTGGCCCCAACTCATCGGTCATTCCCTGTTGGGCAGTGTTTCACTTTTAATTTTGAAGTCTTAAATGCGAGGCGAATTAAGTTGAATCCATTGATTAAATCTAAAAGTAAAGAAAATATTACCTCTAGTTATCTGCTAGGGCTAAAAAACCTTCCAAAACAGTTTTTAAATCTTAGTGATGCAAGTCTATCCCTTCATGTATTTCATGACATTATACCAAAATTACAGGTTGTCTCTTGTGTCTCTTAGCGCTTGTCTACACATGAAAGTTATTCCAGAATGAGATAGGGTGTGAATGTAAAGCACAACAGCTAGTTCAGAATAACTCAATTTGCGAACACACTTATTCTAGCCAAAGTGGATTAAGCTAATCTGGAAAAAGAGACTCTTATTCTGAGTAAATTATCTAAGCGCCAAGTTCTTCAGGAATAGCTGTTCCTGAGCAGCTATTCTGGAATAACTCCATGTATAGACGAGCCCTCTTTTCGGTTGTGACCTCTTGACAGGAATAGCCTTTTTGTCATGTTCGTACAGAGCTTAGCACTTTGGGGCTCTGATCCTTCATTGATAGTCTGCTGCAATACTCCTCTGCTCTTAAAACTAAGAGCCCAATCGAACAATCATTGAACTCAATGGAAAGACTCTCATTGACTTTGACATGCTTTGCATTAGGCCACATAACCTTGGAACAAATGTGTCGGGAAACACCTCAGATTAAATCCTTTCTGGTTCTTTATGTACAAAATGATGTGCGAAACACCAGGTACCTCACTCCTTGTTCATCACTCATCTCCACAATGGCTGAAGAAGTCTCCCGTTAAGATGCTGGGGAGCTCATACCCATCTTACTTATATCCCCTGGGACAGGCCAAGGCTTTGACAATCTCCTATACAAGGCATTCACAATTGTTTATATAACTCTGATCGATGTGCTGTCCACATGGTCCACAGCATCCTCAGCAAAGACAATGATTTTTTAAAAAGTCAGCATATAAACAAACACATCCATCCTTGGGACGGAGGGGACTTCTATGGGAAACTCTGCCAACAGACCTTTTCTTTTTAGGGTGGAATGATTCACTCTCATTTCCCCCCCCACGGCTTCTATGATAGGAAAACCATAATCCCCTCTGACTTCTTAATTTGAAGGGAATCCTCGACAGAGTGACCTTTTCCTCCTCCTGTTTATCAAGGGCTTGCGTAACTTTGTCAACTAATGCAGTCAGTTTCTTATGAAATCTGCCTGTCATCCAACTGAGGCAGAGGAGAGGAGACATGGACACACTTAAAGGAAGAAACATCTGTCTTGAACTTTTTGGAGTTTTTAGCTTTTTTGCAGGATTTTCTGGGCTTGGAAAGTTTAGAAAGGGCAAATGCTTCAAAACACATAATGTTACAGCCCTGCTTTGCATTCTACAGCCTGAGAGGTTCCACCTATCTGACAAGAGCTCAATAGGCCAAGTGGGAAGAAGAGCTGCAGGAGAAAGGCCTGAGAAGTAAGATGTAGGAAGCAGAAAGTCTCAGTGGCTTAGTTCTCAAAGGAGCGTGAGGCAGGGATCTGAGGTCACATATGTGTCACAATGCGGATGTGCAGAGCTGTCTCTGATGAGATAATAAGCAGGATATATCCTGTGACGGGTGTTCTGTACAGGTGAATACACCATAAATAAAAGCTGTATTTGAAATACAGCATGAAACGATACAGCACAACTATTAAAAACCTATGGGGTGGGGGGGCCGCCTGGCTGCACCTCTGCATAGGAGCCAGAGAGGGGACATGCTGCTGCTTCTGGGAGCTGTTTGAGGTATGCGCTGCCAGGAGCCTGCACCCCTGACCCCCTCCTGCACCCCAACCCCTGCCCCAGCCCTGATCCCCCTCCCGCCCTCCGAACCCTGCTGTCCCAGCCCGGAGCAACCTCCTGCACCCCAAACCCCTCATCCTCAGCCGGAGCCCTCACCACCACCCCCCCGCACCCCAACTCCCTGCCTCAGTCCAGCCTCCCGCACACTGAACTCATTTCTGGCCCCATCCCAGAGCCCTCACACCCTCCCGCACCCCAGCCCCCAATTTCGTAAGCATTCATGGCCCGTCATACAATTTCCATACCCATATGTGGCCCTCGGGCCAAAAAGTTTGCCCACCCCTGCTCTAGAAATGACACCTCGAGATGCTGCTACATAAAGGTCCGAAGAGTGTGAGGTAGAGATTTCATGTTCATAGCCAGAGATGTGGCTCCATTCTTCCATAAATACTGTAAGAAAAGCTGCCACTCACCATTAATCACTCTGCTGTTGGTGTTATTCCTACCTCAATCCTTGCAGTGAAGGAGAGACTGCACAATAAGAGAGCTGAATTGGGCCCTCAGTCACGTACTTAATACATTTTCACTCTCTGTTGTGTAGCACACATGCCAGGCAGACTTACCTGGGAATTAACAAGGCGGACTGTTGTCTTTTCCCCTACATCATTCTGAAACCCTATGGTAGGAGCCCCATTAAATCTCAAAACTGCATCGTGGGTGTCTGAAAGCAGTAAAGAGGGAACAGTTATTAAAAGTTAACCGATGGCTATTATGTGTGAGTGGGGGAAAACCATCTAACTCGGGTATGTTAAAAATATGTCAGGTATATAATCAATGCAGAATTTTCCTTATAATAGCTCTTTGTTAGAGATACAGAGCTGGATTCATCAGAAGTATTAAAAAGGTTGATTCTTTTCATGCTGGCATTTAAATGATTACTATGTGTGCTGTTTTCTCTGTCTTCTAATTTGGTTTAAATGAAACTAACCATTTTCAGCTGTATGTATTTTAGTGTAAAAACTCAGCACACATGTAGAGAACACAAGTGACATCCAAGAAACCTGCTAAATACAGGTCCCCAAAACATGCTTGGGTAAATAATTCTCCTTGTGATTTGTTACAAATCAGTGACTGGGAAATAATGAAGAGGAATGTCCTTTATTTCTCAGGGCCTGAAAAACCTGATGCTCAATAGCCTGTGGACTGAGCCTAGAGGCTAGTGTGAAAAATAACTATGCTACCTCACTGCTCACCATGATGTCTCCTGCACTTTAAAGGAATACAAAAGCTGTGTAATGTTTATAGGTACTTTGCCAAATGTAATTTACTATACTCTTAGTAGTGTTATACTTTCCCTTCATGGCTTCACTCTCTTTTCTTTCCTAGAACAGATGACTGCATAGCTTTTCCTGAGTTTTGTTTCTGTGTTTTCCTTCATATTCTCGCCTCCCTATTATTGGCTAGGCAGCAGTTCTGCAGAAAAGGACCTGGGGATTACAGTGGATGAGAAGCTGGATATGAGTCAGCAGCGTGCCCTCATTACCAAGAAGGCCAATGGCATATTGGGCTGTATTAGTAGGTGCATTGCCAGCAGATCGAGGGAAGTGATTATTCCCCTCTATTTGGCACTGGTGAGGCCAGACCTGGAGTACTGCATCCAGTTTTAGTCCCCCCACTACAGAAGGGATGTGGACAAATTGGAGAGAGTCCAGCGGAGGGCAACAAAAATGATTAGGGGGCTGGGGCACATGATTTATGAGGAGAGGCTGAGGGAACTGGGATTAGTCTGCAGAAGAGAAAAGTCAGGGGGGATGTAGCGGGGTGGTTACCCCACTCCTGCCCTGAAGGGCTTAAAACAGCCCTGGGGGAAGGTTGTGGCTGGGAGCTGCTAAGATGGGCTGATTAGGAAGCAGCTGCAGCTGGGCCACACCCCAATCAGGCCTCAGCTGGCCCTATATAAAAAGGCTGTGAGTCAGGAGCCAAGCAGTTTCTCTCTGCCTTCAGAGGGAGAAGGGCCTGGCTGTAGTGAGCTAGAGGCAGAGTACCTGAGTGGAGCAGGGCTGGGGACAGGCTGGGGAGCTCCAGCTTGGAAAGCCCCAGGCTGTGGCCTAGTAGGAGGCCAAGGCGTACTGGGGGTTGCTGAGGGCAGCCCAGGGGTAGGCCAAGACAGCAGGTCCAAACCCAACCTTGCCTGTGATGAGTGGCCTATACTGCAGTCTGCCCCAGGGAGTGGGGGTTAGTTGGTGACTGGCAGTGGCCTTATTCTGAGGCAAGGTAGGGATAGTGGGTGGGGGCTCCCTGGAGAGGGGGGACCCTAGTACTGAGGGGTGTACTGCCAGGGGGCAGCACCCCAGATAAAAGGGCACCGGTGTCTGGGAGGGACACGGGGGCCGGAGGACAGGCGGACCACCGGCCTGCAGGGGGCGCTCCAATGCTGAAATGAGCTAATTTCCGAGCCGACCAGCAGGAGGGTGTGGCAGGAGTGAGTCCGCTCCTCTACAAGGGATTTGACAGCAGCCTTTAACTACCTGAAGGGGGGTTCCAAAGAGGATGGAGCTCGGTTGTTCTCAATGGTGGCATATGACAGAACAAGAAGCAATGGTCTCAAGTTGCAGTGGGGGAGGTCTAGGTTGGATATTAGGAAACACTATTTCACTAGGAGGGTGGTGAAGCACTGGAATGGGTTATCTAGGGAGGTGGTGGAATCTCCATCCTTAGAGGTTTTTAAGGCCCAGCTTGACAAAGCCCTGGCTGGGATGATTTAGTTGGGGATTGGTCCTGCTTTGAGTAGTGGATTGGACTAGATGACCTCCTGAGGTCTCTTCCAACCTTAATATTCTATGATTACTAATATTATCTATTTGGATTGCAGTAGCGCTTAAGAGCCCCACCTACAGCAAGGCTGGGCTAGGCCAGAGGTTCTGCTGTTACAGAGAACGGATGCGTTAAATAATGAATAATAATACCACCTAAACTCTTCTATAGATTTTTTTCATCAGTAGATCTAAAGCACTTTAAAAAGGAAAACTGTGTTATTACTCCTAGTTTACAGATGGGAAACTGAGGCACAGAGCGGCAAAGTGACATGCCCAAAGTCACCCGGCAGGCCAATAATAGAGTCAGGAATAGAAATCAGGTCTCCTGAGTAATAGGCCAGTGATCTACCCACTAGGAAACACTGCCTCCTCCTTCTCCAGAGCCAAAGTGCTTGTCTACATGGGAAAGTTTTAACAGTTATACTGGTATAATGCTATCAGTATAGTTAAACTGATACAGTGATACCAGTGTAACTACCCCATATGGACACCCATTCCCATTTAAGAGTGGCTTTATTCCCCCCACCAGTTTAGTTTAAACTCCTTCCAAAGTGACGTAAATTAAACCAAACAAAGGCACTCAAATGGGAATCTGAGGGTTCACCCGGGGAGTTATATCAGTATCACTATAGTGCTTCCTGCAGCTGCCATGGCCATCTCCTGTTCCCAGCCTGCCCTACCCTCTCTCTTTAGGGGACTCCGGCTCCCTAGAGGTCCCCAGAGTGGAGACTGCAGCTGCTTTGTACCGCTGCAACCCTTCCCTTGCCGTGGGAATTCTATCACTGGGGGTCTCCATCATATTGTATGGGTGCAGAAATCAGCATGGATCTTGAGCTGTATCCTGGCCCACACTTAGTTCAATTAAACCAATTGTGTTTTCAAGTGTTAAAGATTAATGTACACATTTGAAATGTGTACTAAGGGTACCTGCTCATTCTCTCTGCTCTCCACCACACACACCTGCAATCAATGAGAATCTTAATTGAATATTTCAAGTTGGTGCAAGTGTCTTTGTGAATTCTCAGATTAATTTGAAATGGAGAAAGTCCTATGGGTAAATCAAGTGTGATGGTGGATTGTTCCAGCCTCACAGAGTTCAAAAGCCAGACGATATTGTTTTATCCTAACAGAGTAATACCAACCTATCTCTGGTCCCAGATGCGAGGACTTCAGAGATCCTGCTGAGGACACGACAGCGCATTGACGGAAGTGGCCAACTTCTTGGCTGAGGTTTTTTCTTGGTAGATACATCTGCCATTCAGAGGTATTGAACGGACCGTCTGACCCATGGATCATTGTCACATTCACTCTGTCCCGGAGCTGGCACAGCAGTTTCTCTGGACTGAGTTTGGCAGTATTCCTTTGCCCTTTGTAAGTCACATTGTACTTGTTCATGGACAGGTAATTGTTTTTGACCTTTCGCAGCCTGGGTATGAGATTCTTTGATGAACTGTCCTCATTCCAGACATTCACAGAGAGCAATGATTTCTTGGACTTTGCCACTGCATTGTTTCCTGGAGGGGTTGGAGAGATGCTGCCATTTACTTTATCCAGTTTGACCAGCAAAGCAACAGATAACTGGCCCTTCTCATTGACAGCTTTGCTTGAAAGAAGTCGGGATGTAAGTACGTCTCCTTTTCCCAGAGCTCTGGGAATCTGAAAACTTTTGCTTTCTGTTTTGAAGGGAACATAGTAGCCTTTTCTTGTTTCCCCCCACAAGCAAATAGTCAGAACCACAAGCAATAACAAGAGTCCACACTTTTTCAATAGATTGATATGAACCATAATGTATGGTGCATCAGAATGAGGTGATTAACGATGTTGGGCCTGAAAAACAGGGCAAGAAACAACTAATCAAAAGAAGCAGTGGGGGAACTAGAAATTTTTTCCAGACTTCTCAATCCATCTAAAGGCCTGATCTAAAGCCACTAGCATCAATGGAAAGACTTTACTGGGCTTGGATGAGGTCCTAAATTCAATATCAACCCAGGCCCATACTCCTTATTTGAGTTATATGGGAGACCTCCCTCATCCCCAATTCTATATTTTTCCTTCTCCAAAGAGTGTATGGGTGCAGAACTTTCATGCCAGCTTGGGTGAAAATCCCCACTTTACTATTTTTTAAATAGATATTTAATGTCTGAAACAACATCACCAGGTCAAGGCTCCCTGCCTGAATCTGTCCCTGGTTCTTGCCTGTGGTCAGAAACTACTATTTCAATAACAAAGTTTGTTTAAAGAACACTGTGGAAAACGCAAATTTTATAAACATCATGTGAGTTTCAAGATAGCTACACTGAAACCTTAGTCAGCTCATAGGAAACTTCTGCAAATCTGTAAACATGTAGTGTCATTAAACAGCTGGCTGGAGCCAATGAGTCTACATTAGTGGTTTTTTTTTTTTTTAATTTTTTTATTCTCAAAATGCTCTTGGTTTGATATTAATTTAGGGTACAATACAGAATATCTGGGGGAAGCGAGGAAGCTTTCTACAGCACAGTGCTCCAACAAATGCAGAACACCCCACCTTCAGCAGAAAATAACTTCAGCAGCTGCATGGAGGAGACAGAGAGTTTGTTGTTTAGGGGAAAGACATTCTGTTGCTAGAGCGTTGTGATGCAGAGGCAGAAAATCAACAGCAGGAAAATACAGGTCAATTCATTATTCAACCTCTGTTCAAAGCCCAAGGGACAGGGCCAGCTCCAGCATTTCTGCCGCCCCAAGCAAAAAATAAATTAAAAAAAAGCCGCGATCGGCGGCGGCAATTGAAGAGAGAAAAAAAAAAAGTCAGGATCGGCGGCGGCAGTTTAGCGGCAGGTCCTTCGCTCCTAGAAGGAGCGAGGGACCTGCCGCCTCCGAATTGCCGCAGGTGCCGCCCCTCTCCCTTGGCCGCCCTAAGCACCTGCTTGTTAAGCTGGTGCCTGGAGCCGGCCCTGCCAAGGGAACACAATGGGACAGGTGTAAACGAAGATATGCTGGCAGTCTAAAAGCAGCTGTGGCATTTACAGCAGTGCATGGTGCCTGGACATAGGTGGGCACTGAAGGTGACCAGAGCATGGTTGCCAGCTCTGTACATGCCAGTGCCTTCAGGTGTGTTGCTCAAGCTATGTCGATACTTAGCTGTGCCGCTGTAGCACTTCTGTGTAGCCACTCACTACAGCAACGGGAGGGTTTCTCCTATCACATTAGTTCATCCACCTCCCCAAGAGGCAGTAGCTAGGTTGATGGAAGAATTTGTCCATCGACCTAGTGCTGTCTACACTAGGGTTAGGTCGGCTTAACTACGTCGCTCAGGGGTGTAGATTTTTCACACCCCTGAGCGACGTAGGCGGGTCAACTTAACTCTTTAGTGTAGACCTGCCCTCAGGATATGAGAGCAGCAAAGAGAGGGCAGATGCTCGAGTGGTGTAATAGGGCCAAGAACAAGGAATTGGAACTGCTCTGCAGAGGAGCTGGGCACTGGCTCCCCATACCCTACATGTCTGTATCTGACTCCCAGGGTGAGGAGAGTAGTCTGGCCACCTTGCAGTCGAACACAGGGGAATGGTTTCCCACTCCAGAAGTGCACAGGAGTTGGTGGGGAACTAGCAACCATACGCACAGTGCCTGTTACTTGGGATCGGTGCTGGAAGTAATTTTTCTGGCCCAGAGCCATAGGCAGGGCTTCTGTTCTTTGGGATGTATTAATTTCATTGTTCAGGGTTTATTTTTAGCAATTTTTGAGTTCTATGTAAATGTCCAAAAACAAGTGGGGTTCAGGGTTTACTATAATTAATTTAGTATACATCATAATGAGTTATATTACTTATTACAGTAGTATATATTATGAGTACTCTCTTCTTAATGTTTCTTAGTGCACTTTAACATAGTGCTGTTTGAAACAGTACTACAATAAAGCACACTAAGGAACCTTTAGTGCACACCAGCAGGGTATAGGGTACAGGCTCCATCTACACTAGTGTGAATAGGTTCAGCACCTGAAATACAGGCAATCGAATTTTGACCTCTTGGAGCCAGTCTTATACTTCTGATTGAACAAACCCAGTATCCTCAAGTCCCAGCCATTCATTCATAAGCAATGATGTCTGACCATATAAAGTTCCCTTTGTTTTCTATTTCTATCATCCGTGAACTCTCAGAGAAAGGAATGGAGCCACTTAAAAAGCAGGTGATGGTACAGACTGAGCCATGAAAAATAGATATGCAAAACTAGGGCCCAAATATGCAAACCTTTCCTTGTGTTTGTCTTAGGACTGGTCTACCTTTCAGAGTTAGGTGGCTTAACTACATCCTTCAGGGCTTTCACACCCCGTGCAATGTAATTAAGATGACTTAAGCGCTGGTGTAGACATCACTAGGTCAATGGAAGAATTCTTCTGCAGGCCTAGCTACTGCCTCTTGGAGAGGTGGAGTTTACTACCATGACAGAAGAACCCCTTCTGTTACTCTAGTAAGTGTCTACACTACAGTGCCGCAGCTCTGCTGCTGTAGCATTTCTAGGGTAGACATAGCCCCAGCAACAGGAGCAGTCCCATTGAAGTCAGCAGGACTCATGTGAGTGAAGACTACTTAAGTCCATATAGAGCTGATCCTGGGATCCACTAAAATCAACAGGAACTTTGCCAACTTGCTCATAGGAGCAAGCCCCTGTGAACTTAACACTTAACCACTGTCTAGCACTTTACATCCTCAAAGCACTGTCCAAATGTTGACTGACTAAAGGATTGTTATCCCAATAAAGACAATGAAATCTATTATTAGACTTCAAAACAAAGTCTCCTCTGTATTATTTGAACTGCTAATGTATTCGTTACCTGTTGTTGGCTAATACTTGAGTTAGAGCAACTACTGCTCATTTTTAAGTATCTGCAGGTTTTCTAACAATGGTGAGAAGCTGTGTTCTCTTACAAATCCAACACGTCAGATTGATGAGCAGATTTCAAATAAAGGTCACAAGCCACCTGCAAAAAAAGAGAACTTTATTAGAGAAATACCACATAGCATAGGGCACCAACAAGGATTTTCTTAGGTATGTGTTGGAGTCTTGCAGAGAGAATTCTGATAGCCAGACCTGGCTACCGCCAGCAGCAAAAAAATGTTAATCAAGTAAAACCCTTCTGAGAGCTCAAACGTCTATTGAAATGAGCAGGAATTGTTCAAACTTTGCCTGTGACAAAGCAAAACGTCTATCTTTCTCAGTAAAAAAAAAAAACCTAGAGAGTCTCACACCAAAATTTAGAGCCACCTAGCAGTTTGCATGTTCCGTCCGCAGCCTGGCTAGCAAGGATATTACAACAGTGCCCCCAGTATGTTTTTAGCAAATTTAAAGTGAATATGTAATGTTATTTTTAGAATCATCTAGTTAAACAGTGTCTTTGCGAGTTTCTCCTGAGTCTTAGACGCTCTGTCTTCTGACTAGTCACTTTTTGCTCTGCAAATATTTTACTGTAGGTTCTGCAAAATAAAGTGTTCTTCTTGTCTTATTCCTTCAGCACAAAAGCCACACCACCAAACACACATGAAGAGTTTTATCTGCTGGACAGGCTTAGTATTGCTTTTCACAATAGCACTAAAGTATTTTGCATTCAAGTATCATCCAGAGGCCCCGATAGATGAGGTCCCCATGGCACTGAGTGCTATCCAAACGCTAGCCTAAAATAGATTATTTCCTGTTTTCAAAAACGATGTGGAGGAAGGAAACCATTACCAAGCAAGTGATGGAAGGAGATACAGTGAAAGAGAGGGGGAGACTTTACAAACCATTATGACCCTGCAAAAAGTTACACACATGCTTAACTTTACGTTAACACTGAAGTCAGCAAAACTATGCACATGTAATTGTTTGCAGGACAGGGGCCTAGATTATTAAAACTTATTTTAGTGTCAATAGTCAGATAACATTAAAAGAGAGTGCAAATAGGCAGATTTGCAACACACATGCATTCAACCCACAGAATCAGTTGTTAAAATTCAAATATATCCCCACTTTCATTAATGAAATTTTAATCACAAGTGTTTGTTATAACGTGCTTCAGTAGGACATAATGGTATTTGCCTTTATTGACAGTTGTACATTAAACTATTTTTTTTATAAATCAGTTGCTTGAAAGAGTTAAAGGAAGTTGTGAACTTAAAAAATTCCCTTCAGTCAGGGGTTTTGGGGTTTGTTTTTAAACCTGTTATTGTTTCAAGTAACAAAATTACAACAAGAGATTGGAGGAAAAAATATCAATATCATCAGTTTGTTTACTTGGTGTAGCGGATAGCATCCCTGCTGGAACTAGGGGTGCCGCACCCCTTTGCTTGAAGTAGTAATAACAAACAGCAAATACATTGTTTCCAACATCAGCACCCCCATTATAAAAATTGTTCCAGCACCCCTGCCTTGTGCCTAATCAGCTTCATGGTTTTCCCTGTACTGTTGGTAGGCTCTAATTCTGCAATCAATTATGTATATACTTAATTGTTCACATTGGTAATCTCATTGGATCAAATCCCCTATTGTTTTTGTGGACCTTCTGCTCATCAAGAAGGGAGCGAAAATCATTTACCAAGTAGGAAAAATGTGGCTATGAAACCTAATGATTTGTCAGGGGGCCTCCTGGGTAGGAGTACCACCTAAAACTATATGTAATGCTGACAGACCACGGTGGGCAGGACTGAACCGGGGATCTCTAAAGCCTAGTGCATGAGCCTCTACTGCATGAGCTAAAAGCCAACTGGATATTAGCAAAGCTGTAGAGCAGACTCATTTTCTCTCTCTCTCTAAGTGGTCTCGGTGTCACTAGTTGGGATACAACACCACACCCAGAAGTTGTGTGGGTTACATATACATTTTTTTTTAAACTGATTAAATGTCAAGCTGATGGTGTCCATTTAATACACAGAGAATCTCCTCATAGCTTTTACCCTCTTCAACCTAATATGAACTGGCACAGCTCCGCTGACTTCAGTGGACCTATGCCAGTTTATACAAGCTGAGAGTCTGGCTATTATTTTTGTAAATTAGTACTAAGTTACTATTCATCTTTTTGCATAAGCTGGGACACAGCATTAACACAGTCCACAAAAGATGGAGCTCTGAAAATACCATGTCACTGTGCATAAAGCAAGCCAGAGCATTGACAAGAATACAGTGTATTGTATACAAAGTCTGCCATGAAGCTGGTAGTGCAAGGTGTTCCCAGGCTGCTTTACAGTTTGGCTTGGTGTGTCACACTGCCGTAGTTGAGCTCAGCAGAGGTGCTTGAGCTGGACCCCCCTTGATATAAGCTAGAGGGAGCTACTGGCAGCATTCTGTGTGCGGGAGATTTTGACTTTGGAAATCCCTCCTTGCCACAGCCCAGATCTATCAGCCTTGCAGGCGTGCTGAAAAACCCATCTTTCCTCCCCCACCTCTCAGACTTCTGGGCAGGTGGAGGGTAAAGAGGTTCAGTGGCTATTTATTAATGGGCAGTCTTTTACATTGGGTTAATATATGGGCACCTATAGGTGTTTTTATATACTGAGGGGAATAAAATCTGCCTATGTCTTGTTTTTAAGAGCGTAAAGGGTTGTATCTTTTGGGTCTAACCGTTTAAGTGGGAAGTGGGACTGACCCTTTCATTGCTAGGGCATTCTTTAAATCATTTACATTTTCCATGGTTAACGTTTCCTAAATTTCTTCAAACTATTTATTTAACCTAGTGATATCCTTCCCTCCCTTTTCATTTAGCTGTGATTTCACATGGGACTGCAGCCAGGAAATGTGAGAGTAGTTTGGCATTTAGCTCACATTTTCTCTTGACTGGTAGATCGGGGAGAGTACCCAATAGGTCATATAGAAGCAGAGTCACTACCAAAAAAATTATAGGCACCTTCACAACTTGTTTGAACTCATTCAACAGCCTGTTCCCCTCTAAGCAGCATAACTATCAAGCCTGTGTGTGTTTTGGTGCTTCCCCAACTATAGGTTTAACACTCCCCCGATCTGTCCAGTAGGAGGTTGCCAATTCACATTGATGGGAAACCAGGTGCTTAGCACTATATTATAGGGTCCTAATCTTTGAGGGGGACCTTTAGGTGCTTCTGTAGCACAAATAATACATTGCTCCATTTTATAAGCTGGAAAGGAAAGTGAGCAAACAGTTTAAAAATGGACACTACTGAATCACAAAATGTCCTTTGTTCATTTATTTTCACAACCATGGGTTAGTAATAATACTTCATGGTGTACTGATGTAGCATATTTGTAAAACATGACATGAGATTAACAACATGAGATTTCCCTTGATCATCCTGCTACTGAATCTGCTCTGGCAAGCGGGAAGAGAATCATTTTTCTGTGTAAATGAAAAAAAAGAAAGGTGCAAATTAGGATAGTGCAGATAGGCGATGTTCTATTTACATAGCTATAGATAAAATATTTGTTATAGACAGCCACATTCATTCATACACCACAGGGATGAACATAAATGTGCTCCTATAAGTGAAACTTCAGAAAGCCTACAAATATCATAATTATACCTCTTATATCAGGAATGCAGAGGTCAGATAGCAGTACAGTCAAATAGGCATTTATAGCAATAATACAACATGCTGTTTTCTTCAAATCTACTGACACCTGTCAAGTGAGATTATCAAGAGTCAACTTCTACAAAGCAATAGTGCACCAATTTGTCAGCCAACAATGACAAAAATGTAAGTATTCTAGTGCCAAATCTTGGTCCTATACACAAAGCCTGAGTCAAAAGACTTTGCAGACTTCCCTAGAGCATTCCAGGAGTGAAATCCTATTCACAGGCTCAAAGATAGGCAGGCATAAGCATAAGTACCTTGCTGAACTCAACCACCGTTCTGTACCTGTAAGTACATTAGTCACAAGCCTGCCTCCTCCCACTCCCCAAACTCCTTCATGCAGCACAGGGACAGCTTCATCAAAGATCCCACTGATTTATAATGGTGAGCAATACCTATGTTAGCCTACGCCACTGAGGGTACGTCTACACTTACCGGAGGGTCCGACGGCAGGCAATCGATGTTCTGGGATCGATTTATCGCGTCTGGTTTAGACGTGATAAATCGATCCCGGATTGATCCCGGAAGTGCTCGCAGTCGACGCCGGTACTCCAGCTCGGCGAGAGGAGTACGCGGCATCGATGGGGGAGCCTTCCTGCCGCGTCTGGACCCGCGGTAAGTTCGGACTAAGGTACTTCGAATTCAGCTACGTTATTAACGTAGCTGAATTTGCGTACCTTAGTCCGAAGTGGGGGGGTAGTGTGGACCAGGCCTGAGTGGGGTGAGAGGGCAGCAGATGGCAGTGGCGGGAGGGACAGCTGCAATTGCTAGCCTGCTGGGCAGCTGCTGCACAGGGAATTTAGGGGAGCGGGGAGCTGATAGGGAGAGCTGATGGTGGGCTGCCGGTCCACCCTGGTTCCAAGCCCCCACCAGCTAGCTTCAACGGGCTGCTCTTCCTGCAAGCAGTGGACAAAGCAGGCGCCTGCCAAACGACGTTAAAAGGGAGCATTGCACAACTTTAAATGAGCATGTTCCCTAACTGATCAGTAACGTAACAACGAAACAACGTTAACTGGGACGACTTTAAGTGAGGAGTTACTGTACACTACAGTGCTACATCGGCTGGTGAAGACACGCTATGCCAATGGGAGAGTGATCTCCTGTCAGCATAGTTACTCTACCTCGGTGAGAAGCGGAAGTTATGTCAGTGGGAGAGTGTCTCCTGCCAACATAGTGCCGGTGTGGAAACTTGCATCGCTTGAGGGTGTGTGGCTTTTTCACACCCCTGAGCAATGTAAGTTATATTGACTTAGGCTGTAGCGTAGACCTGCCCTAAGGGAAGAATAAGGAGCATACTTAGTGTTATGGAGGCCTAAGCTAGCAGACCAAAAAGATGTGAACTAGGCTTATTGGAAAAGGAGGTTGGAATCTGAAGCAGAAGACATAAGGAGTGAATAAAAAGGAA